CCTCGTCGGAAAAGTCGGACATCTTGTATGTTTTGGTTCTGAAGAACTGGTAGTTGTAGAAAGACGCGATCGCGCACGGGGTACGGCTGAGACGAAGACACGGAAGAAGGATCCCAACACGCCGGAGCATCAAGGGTATAAATAGGGCAGGATTTCCTCTTTTTTGTCAGGGGATATTTGAGATTTTTTAGGTTTTACGCTTGGGTACGTTGGGGAGGGCTGGATTGGTGGGTGTGTTTTCGCGTGTTTCAGTGTTATGGTGCATTGTCGATGTGGTAGAGTGGGTGAAGAAGGTGGCATTTAAGGGTGATTTCGATTGATTAGGGTATTTTCATCCTGATTATATAGTAAATAACTTTATGTGAAAGTACTGTTGTCGTTTTTGGATTTTGGTACACAATTCACATAGGATGAAATGTCTCACCTAACTTTCAGGAGTGTTTCACTATCTTTTGAAAGATCTAACTTTTGCATTTACTCAAAGGATACTTCAAGTACTCAAACTACCTCTTTATATCACTGAAAAGAAAAGCTCACTCACGAACTCAATTGAAACATATTTTTGCAATAACTAGAGCCGGATAGTCAAATCTGCATCCCTCCAAACCCTGTCCAACCCACCACCTACACCTTAATCTATCCACCGCTGGGTTACCCCACCGGTCTATGCATTCCTATTAACGCTTCTTCTTCATCGACTTCTGGATACGCTCAAATTCCTCATCATCAAGATCTGGCGCCTGGCGCTTCTTGCCCTTGGACTTACCATACTTGGCTTCGAGATTGCTGATCAAATCATCCAATTTGCCAGCATTCTTCCGCTGAATGAGCGCCGCAAGATCTCCCTCGGTCTTCAATGGCTTTTTCGTGATTTTCTTCGACATCTCCTCCGCCTGCTTGGCCTCCTTGGCCAACTTCTTCAACATCTGCTTGACCTTCGTCTTTCGCAGCTTCTTGTACTTGTCCCACGTCTTTTGCATGTTCTTGTCTATGTCGATGGCGCCTGAAACCAAAGCTTCATCCACGATATCAAACACCCTGCTCTCCTGAGTCTCGTCAAACTCCAAATGCGGAATCACCTCAAAAAGTCGGAGAAAATCACCCTCGTAGTAGGCGAAGTTATGCAAAATGTCCTCCTTCTCCTCCTCAGAACCCTGGTACTTGGCCCTGTCCTCCTCGATCATGTCTATGGTGATCTTTTCCGTCATCAGGGCAAAATAGTCTTTCCAGTCGAAAACATCTTCTTCTCCCGAGTACCCCAACAGTCCCGTTGTATCGTATCGACTGCGCTTGGCTGGATCAGATAAAATGCTGTAGGCGAACTGGATCTGGGGAAATACCGTCTTGTCCACATCCAGATTCAGTTGTTGGATTTTGTCAGGGTGGAATTTTAGCGATAGCTTCTTGTATGCTTTTTTGATAGCAAGGGGCGTGGCCTCCTTGTCGACCTGTAGCACGCTGTACGGGTCGATGTCCATGATTAAAGTAGGATGAATTTGTAAGTGTTTATCTAACGCGCGATGCCAGGGTTATGGTGGTGTGGAGGTGAAAAATTGGTCTGACGGGTTGCCCTAAAACAATTGAATTTTCGTTTTGAAAGGTTATTATGGCTTTGGATTACTATTGATAAGTTGATTTCATATTTCTTTAGATTTGTGAATCGACACTACAATGTATGGTACTACGTATGGTAGGTTGAAGAATTCGCAGCCATGGCTCGTCTAGAGACAGCTGATGATATCAGACTGTTCTGCGAGATTTTCCTTGCATTTAAAGTCATTCAAGCTTTTCGTCATCTTTGAGAGATAAAGCCGCTACGATTGTACATCTTTATTTCTTCATTCATGTCTCTGATATTACACTGGTCGAGTCCTCACATCCGTGACAATTCACACAATCAGCGCACCTACTTCAACTCGGACAAGGTCTCCTTGATGGCAGCAAGCAAACGGTCGACGTGGCCCTCGTAGACAGAGTAGCCCATGTGGCCGACACGGAAGTACTTGCCCACCAAAGCCTTGTGGATGCCGCCAGCGACAGTGAAGCCCTTTGTGGCCAACTTGCCCAAGAAGTCTGGACCGTTGACACCCTCTGGGAAGTAGGCGGCGGTAAGACCGTGAGCGGCAACCTCCTTGTTAGGCACGAGCTTCATGCCCAAAGCCTCGATCTCGTTCTTGAACTTGGTGGAAGCCTCGTCGTGGGTAGCGTATCTGGCGTCCAAGCCCTGGCCCAAGATCTCGTCAATGGACACCTTGAGGGCGGTGACGTTCTGGATGGCTGGGGTGGCGAAGTAAGCAGCTCCACCGCCCTCGTAGGCCTTCATGATAGGAGTCCACTTCTTCATGGAGGCGAAGAAAGCAGCAGGCTTCTCCTTGTTGAGAGCCTTCTGGACGGCTCTAGAAGAGGCGTAGAAGACAGACAAGCCGGCAGGAGCGCCCAAGGCTTTCTGGGAAGCAGTCAAGGCAAAGTCAATGCCCCACTTGTCAAACTCAATGTTCTCCACACCAATGGAGCACACACCGTCGACAATGATCAAAGTCTCTGGCGAGACCTTCTTGACGAGAGCGGCGATCTTGCCCACGTCGGAAACAACAGCGGTGGAGGTGTCCACGTGGGTGATGGTGATGGCGGTGTACTTCTCCTTCTTCAAGTGCAGCTCGATCTGGTCAAGAGGCACAACGTCGCCCACAGGCGCCGTCACCACGTCAACCTGGGCCTCGTAGACCTGCAAAGCCTCAGCAAAGGAGTCGGAAAAGAAACCCGTCAGGAGAACCAACACCTTGTCGTTCTTGTTGAGCAAGTTGGCACCAGCAACGTCCCAGCCCAAAGTACCAGAACCGGCGACAACGTAAGGCTGGGCCTCAGGATCCGTCGATTTGAACACCTTACGCAAGTTCTGCAAGACATTCTGGAAAGTTTTCACGAATTCAGGCGAAGTGTGGGCCTGAGAAGGAGTAGCCATGGCACCCAAGACAGCGTCGCTGAACTCAATGGGGCCAGGAATCATGGTGAGCTTGTGCTCTGGTTGCTTGTAGTTGGAGGCCATTCTGACAAAGTTTCTACGCAAAATTGACTGGATAGGGCGGAAGAGTGCCGGGGTAGATAGCATCAAAAGAAGAGGGTGGTTACGTCGAGTAGATATACCCCAGGCCCGGCGCGCCGGTGCAGGAGGGCTGTCAGCCTGGTAGTAGAAAAAAGAGAGGAATTGGGCGGCATTGAGTGGAGGAGGGGGGCGCATAGGCAGGAAAGGTGCGGTTTATGGGGGAAGGTGGTGGTTTTTTCGTTGGTTGTATCGGCGACACCGTTGGACCGGCGCACCGGTTCGGAGTCAGAGACGGAATTCGAGAGAAGTCAGAACGAGGTGCAGCAGGTGGGAGGTGGCGGCCGTGGCGGGAGGGTTTTGGGGCGAGAGAGGTGGATAGTTGGCAGGTGGGGCCAGGGTGGGGCCAGTGTGGTGGCGTGGAAGTTGGGTTGGTGTGGTCCAATTGGTGATGTAGTTGAGGGTATGTTCTTGGGAGGTTAGAGGAGAAGTTCTAAAGCGAAGTTTTGATGGGTTTTGGTGAAATTAGCTAAATGTTGGATAGTTGAGGAGGCCTTCTTTGGCTTGCTGTCCATGGTTTTGTGGTGTTGCTGGTGGTGTTGCTGGTGTGGGGGACCGAGGTTGGCTGCGAAATGGCTCGATCCAGTGGGGACACGTCAAAAACGTTGGATCGAGGGGTAGTATTTTTGATTTAGGTATTTGGAAGTACTGCTATGCGATGGGGATGATATGGATCAGCTGGAGAAGGAAGAGATGGTTTGGGGACTTTGCACCGTGAAACGTGGGGTAAAGAGCTAAAGGGCTAGCCGTGTGGTGTAAATCGGGGAAGTGGTGTTGGGACGTTGATGGAATTTTGCTTGATATACTTGGTTTTGACTCAATTGAGTGGATCGCTTGGGTCAATGGCTCCATATTACTTGGGATGTTTGATCTTGCCTACTGGCCTTGTGCATGTGAAGATTGATAGCGACTTTTCAGCCCAGGTTATTTGAACTCGGGTGGTCATAAAGCATGGTGGTTTTTGAGATAAGGGCTTCTAGGGGGAATCTCTTGAAAGTAGAATATTCCTGTGCCGTAATATTTTTGGATTGGCATAGATGTGGTGGATCCTGAGGTAGGCTTGGTGATCTTCAAAGTAAGATGCTAACGCCAGTGCTGATCGATGATCTCTTCTCTGGATCCGCTTTTTATTTTCTATCTCTATTTCAGCTTCATCACTTTTCCAGATCCATCACTTTTACATGATCCAGCGGCCTTCAATCGGTGATTGTTTCCTCTAGAGTCTAGAGCTGCATCAAAGTTGAACTTGCAAATAGGCTATAACTCTGCGGCCAAATTTCAGTGTCAATGGGATAAACCAGATTGAAGGTACTGCACTGCTTGGTGGAACCTAGGCTGGTCCATTTGCTGCATTGAAACAGAATCACCATGGACTCCTCTTCATATCAGCATAGAGTTGCAGCCACGAGCGTTCCTTTAACCCCTGCGGGGCAATGACATCCGGTAATTAGACAGTGGAGCATTAATGTCCTCTAATGCGCTCTAATGTAAAACTAAGTAGGACATTGCTGTTTAATGTTGAATGATCTGAACCTATGCACTTTCATACTGCCATTCAGACGAGGCAATGGAGAGGTTCGATGCCATTACGGTTTTATGCAACTGGTACTGCAATTTTACCTCTATTCTGATATTAGTCAATTCATGAAAAATATTGATCAATCCTTGAAACATCCTCAATTCCTCACGACTGTTCGACAGCATTTCGCAGCCATTACTTGGGTCTACCTATACCTCTCAAAACCACCCAGAATGACAAATCACCCTCATTTCAAATCTCAAACACCCATCCAGAACACCAACGAACCCCAAATCCCCAAAACCGTAAATCAATTCTTTCATTTACCACACCCACACAATTCACCTCATCACCACTCTCACCTGCATTGGCTGCGAACTAATGGTAACCAGACAGTTCTCCCTACGAGGCCACAAGGCACCAATTGCAGGATTTCTGGATACTCCCCATGGTCTTGTTTCTGCAGACAGAGACGGCTGGGTCGTTGTGTGGAGTCTCGTGACCAAGCGACCCTTGGGTTTCTGGAAAGCTCACGATGGTCAAATCATCACCTTGATCAACACACCCCATGGATTGTTGACACACGGCCGGGACTCGGCAATTCGGTTCTGGACCACAGAAGGTCTTGCTGTGGAAACGGATTTGGCATATATGGGCAGGGACGGTTTGCCTAAACCGAAATACGAGGAGATCCCAGTGAACGCCTTGAACTTCTGCAATGTGGACTACATCGACGGCCGTTTGGCCACGGCATCTACTACCGACTCGGAGAATTTTGATATTTACGAGCTCGCAGCGCCAGGAAAGCCGTGGGGTCTATCCAGAGTCGTTCAGGGCTTTTCAGTGGGCACTGGTGCTGTTGATGAGACTAAACGGGACGGTCAGGGCATTATCATGAAACTACGGTTTGTGGGGTCGTCCTTGCTTTTTGTGGGCTATGAGCTGGGAACAGTGAAGGGTTTCAAATTGACGGACGAGTCGAACTCAACAGCTCTGGCGAGGGAACTGCTCCTTCTCAATAAGGACTTGAAGGTGACTGAGGTGTTTTCATACAATGGCCACTCGCCACAGCCGGTGCTTTCGTTTGAGTACGCTGACGAGAAGCTATATACGGGATCGGCGTCCAAGAAGCTTATTGTGGTATCGATCGGTGAACTTTTAAAGGAGGGATCAAGTGAACCTGCGACGGTCAAAAATGGACCATCTGTGAAAGCTTCCAGCGGACTTGGGCTGCTTCTAGGACGGCCGAAAATTGAGGTTTTGGACGACTTTGAACCTGTCGATTGCGAGATCTCCACCTTCAACCTTCGACATGCTGGTATTCTGAATATCCAGATCGGCGAGGAAGTCCATATGATTTTCTGGGACGGCGTGCTCAAAAGTTACACCAAGGATTTAAAGGAAATCAGCCGATCGGAGAGGGGAGTGGAACGAATCAAGGTTGAGACAGAACAGACAGAAGTCGCCAAACCTACTACCAAAGCATTATGTGCATATCTCTACCATCCACCTCAGGTTTCTTCCCAACTGGCATCACGAAAAGAGCTTCTTCGGCTCCGAAGAGCCAAGCATGAAGTGTTGTTGTTCGTGGGCTACGGCGACAACCTCATCAGTGCATTTACGATAGACGAACTGTAATAAATCATATTCGAATGTGGGGTATCTATAAGCAAGACGAAAGAATGTAAAATAGGACCAGGCATTATCGGCTAGGCTTTGGCGGGCTCGGAGCTGATCTTTCTCAGCGGCTTCCTGTCGTTGTTGAAATTACTGCTGTTGAAGTTGCTGCTTCCACCGTAGAACAGCCTTCTTTTATTTTTGTTGGAGGTGGGCTGATTGGAGTTCTCATTAAGGAAAAGTTGTGAGTTCCTGTTGCCTCTGCTGCCAGATCTGTTGTGTGAGTTGTTACCTGAAGAACTCGAAGTACGGCTTCCGCCGGCCAGGTTGAAGCGCTGCTTGGGGAGTGGGGAGGAGTTCTCGAGGTCTGGGGATTCCAACCGCATCAGATTTCTCTTGTTGCTGTTGTTATTGTTGTTTCTCCTTCTCCTCAGAGACACATTGCGCTGTCCTGAGGAACGGCCCGCACTTTCGATGTCCAAGTCGCTGAAGGTGGTGTTCAAGCTTTCGCTGGCATTCAGCAAAAGCGCTTCGATATCAACATCGACTTGTTCACGCTCCTTGATTTTATCCAGCAAGTCTGGGTGCTTCTCCACAAGAGATGAAATAACTTGCACATTCTCCAGCAAGATCTCCTTGGACTCCTCGCCGTGGGACTTGGCAGCTTTTGCCAAAGCTACCAAAAGCTGCAAAATAGCCTTGTTCTTGTTCACGTTCAAATTGTCCATTTGCTTCCGCTTGGACATGAGGCTCTCGAGCAACGCATCGTAGTCCTTGTCGTTGCTGTCCAACTTGGCAGACAAATCATCGATTGTCCTAGCCAGCTCTTTCTTGTAGTTATCGAACAAGCGGTACATTCCGTCCAACTCTTGCTGGTAGTGGCGTTTGTATTCATGCTGAGAAGCAATCAAAGCGTCGTAGGCGATCTTCAAACGCTCGTGTTCGGCGGTGGAGAGAGACAGCGACTCCTGCAAATTATCACATCTGATCTTCAAGTTCTTGTTGGAGAGCTTGAGGTTCTCATTGGACGAGTGAACATCGTTGAACTCCTCCTCCAAGTCTGTGATTCTGCGCTCTTTTCTCTTCAACAAAGCACCAATCATATCGTTTTCGTGCTTGGCATTGGCCAACTGGTCCACGAACGATTCATTCTTCTTACTCAAAATCTCATTCTTCTTCTTGTACGACTGGTTGGAGATCTTGAGCTCCTCTGCTTCATTCTTCAAGTCGTCAATCTCAGCCTGGAGTCTCTCGATGACTCTCGAGGTTGGCTTTTTCAGGGGACTTTCCATTTTCTTAGTTAACAAGCGCTTCAGATCAGCTCTAGTTGCTCAACAGAGTGAAAAGATGCGTAGAGTACTGGCGGTAGTAGGAAGTGCTCAATACTTAAGGTTTGAAGTCTTGATGTTGTTTACTTTTCGCAGCCGAGGCAGCCAACGACGCACCCGTACACCAGGCTTAGGTATGCAACGGGTTTCCACATGCTGCTACCTATACGACAGAGAATTTTTTTTTGTTTTGTTTTTTTAAAATTGATGATTTTGCTCTGAAATATTTTTCGATTCCAGTAATTGTGTAGATGGGTAGTCAATTGTGGTATATGTGTTCTACATTCATGCTGCATTCCTGTGAGACACATTCCCATAGCATATTCGTCAGATTAAGCGAATGAGGGATCACAAACTCAATTCAAATTAAGCTCTCTGTGTTTCATCGTATAAAGCGAAAGGCTCAGTAAAAAGTTTCAATCGTTCATTCGTCAAGTCAGATGTACGATCTCGGCTGCGACTTTATATGACTAGTTACCACAGAAATAAGGCAGACTTCGTGGTACATACTGCTTTTCCATCCAAGCTCAGGAAATCCTTCAAAATGAAGCACCAATACTAAAATTGTCTAGCCTTGTCCTTGTGATGCAAATCGATCTCTTCTGCGATCCGCAGATGAAAATCCACCATAACGTATTGGACTTCATTAGCGTACCTACAAGTCTCATCTTTCTTACAGGCAGCCTCATAGTCCTTTTCAAATCCGGCAGTATCAAGCTCTCTGAGCATGTGCCTTAAGTCTCTGTCCTTGTATCTGAACGGATTGATAGTGCAAGCAGTGATCTCGAGCCATTTAGGTGTAGACGTATAGATATGTTTGTAGCGAAGGAAATTTCTAAGGCTGCCATGACTCCTGTGGAATGCTTTCAATTGAGTCAAATCCCTGCTTGCTTGGCTCCACTCTCCTCTCTCATATAGATACCTGATCATATCGTGGTATGTATGCCACGTCACACCAAGGCGATTTGTGTCAATGCTTTCACGAAGAACAAGAAGGATAAAGAAATCGGTTCTGGCCATCAATGTGTTGAGGTCGTCCTGTGGAATTCCCTCGTACAAGTGTTTAACGGAATCGTCGATATGCCCTCTCAGCCATAAGCCGTTAACGTAATGATCGACACAGGGATGAAATTTAAAAGCCCACAGTTTGAATTCGTATTTCCATTCATCGAAATTTTCTGGACCCTTCAACTTGGGTTTGAACCCTTTGATTTCCGACAATTGCATATCTTCCATCGCATATTTGAAGTAACAGGGTCCCACAAGGAAGTAGTTCTCCTTGTAGGTTGGAGAGGCAGTGCCCTTTGTAGCGAATTCTTCGTCACTGTCATTGGGGGTCACCTCGTAACCCATTTTCTTCTGTTCTTTATTTGTTTTTTTTTTTTTTTTTTTTTTTGTGATCTAATCTACATCGGGCAGGGGGTCTATATATGTACCCCGATAATGCGGGTACTATTCTTGATGTGGACTGCACTCGAGAATCACTGCCTCTTTTGGTCTCTTCATTATTGAAAGGCCTTCCTCTTAATTTAATAATCGACGAAAAGAATAAAGCCTAATTCCTTATCAGAGTCACTTTTCTGTTTTCGTTATTAAATTAAGGGCCTTCCACTGTTTGGTACTTGATCCCTCACTAGTGAGCCTAGTTAAGTAACCATTGACGTCAGAGACTACGCGAGGTTCTTAACCATCGAAACCCTCGTGTAGCCGTGTCGTTGGCTGGTACTTTTCCGATTTCGAAGGATAGCTGAGGATCTGCTCGATCATATACTTAGCTAGAATCCGTTAGTACTTCTCACACTAAGTATGTCAAACACTGATCTGCGCGAACCTAACATGATACTATTTTATATCTCTAATGACTGCGATGCCCCCTGGTGAAAACACTCTTGGATTCTTGACTGGCTCCATTAATTGATAATTTACTTTTGCAAGGCTTTCAGATCCTCGGAGTTATGGTAATTTGCAATCTCCGTCAGACTGCGAAACGCACTGACAATAGCCAATAGCCTTTCCGTCTAACGTGCCTACTACATGATAGTAAGAACTTTGGAAATATAGCCGAAACTCAGTTCCTGTTATCAAGAGTAAGTGCTCTTTTCCTCAGTTTCACAGGTAGTCGAATCGTAACATTCGAATCAACGAAGGCTACGGACGACCTGGCTACTACCCACTCAAAATCACTATCTGATATGAAATTTATAAATTAGTCATGCTAGAACTGCTCGCCCATTGGAGCCACGATGATATAATTAAAATTCAACTAGCCCCTCCTTCGTGGCGTTTATTAAGAACTTCTCTCATTTTTCGCAGCCATAACTGCTTTAAATCAAACCAGCGACAACAAGAGCTATACCAGCTGCTCCAAAAGCACCGACCTTCACGGCAGCATTGTTAGATGTACTTGCGCCGGTCCCAATAATAGTGTCATTTCCACTGGAGGTTCCCGTTCCGGTAATACTATCATTTCTGGAAGTTCCGGCTCCTGTAATAGTATCACCTTCACTAGAAGTATCGTTTATACCGTTGGCTCCACTGGTAGTCTCTATGGTGGTCCCAGTTTCAGCTGTGGCTGTAATCAAAGCACTGTGGCCATTGGACGTTTGTGGGGACTGGCTGAAGGTTTCTGGAGCAAGTTGAGCTGAAGAAGCCGATGCTCCTAGTACTGTAGTGCTGACAGAATCGGTACATTTCAAGTCGTCGCCGTGGAAATCGCATCCCATAAGGTCAGACTCACCGTCCGAGGTATAATGGCCAAATTGGAGAATAGGGCCCAGGTCCCGTTCGAAGCATGTTGTTTCTTCAGCGATAACATGACAATTACTGGGAAGAGGGAATGTCTCAGTCGAAGTGTATGGCCTAAACTGAACCCAGAAGGTGTCCATTGCACACAAGAGAGGGTAGCCTGACCAGAATACACACCTTGAAAAAGCAGACGGAGTAGTAGTAGTAGAAGTCCAATATTCTGGAAATACCGTTCCATTCTTTCCATCTTCATCAGTGCAGACAAAGTCCCCACTGTGTGAGTGGCAGCCTGTGATCGAGTAAGTATCGGGATACTCTTCATCATACCATGACAGAATATAATCCATTTTTTGTGAAAAAAAAAAAGGAGTTGCAATAGGAACAGAACAAAAATCAGTCGTCTAAAATCAAGTACTTTTTCAAAATGACGTATGGGCTTGGCAACACTGGTTGAGACAAGCAGGGTCCGTCACACTTGGAATGGCAATTTTTTTTTTTTTTCATTTAGGCATCAGTCTTGGTTTTACCGCAATTCAGTCAGCCTGCTATGGTTAGCGAATCAGTCTTCATGTGATGGCTTACTTTCATGAAGAGTCTTTGATTCGTTCGTCTTCGTATGTCTCTCTGGGGCACATTCATTGTGCAGTACCGGCAGAAAAAATTGCATATTTTGCATATACAAGTCACGTGACCGCTTTTATCACTTCTCTCTTACGGGCAGCCTCCCAAAACATCCTCACACCACGGGCGTGTGGCGTAGTTGGTAGCGCGTTCGCTTAGCATGCGAAAGGTCTCCGGTTCGAATCCGGACTCGTCCATACTTTTTTTTTCATATCTATTTAATTCATATTTCTGCCAGCAGATCATGCGTAATGCTTCTTGTCTTCCAACTCGTCGAGCCGAATCTTCATCGCGGTGAGCTTGCGCTCCACATCAACCCAAAACGAGTTCTCCCGCTCCATCAACGCCATGTACTTCTCAAAAACAAGCGTGTTCTTCACCACCAACATGTGGTATGCCCTCATGATGCCCTCAATCGCCTCTTGTCTCTGCTGCACCAGCTCCAAGTCAATTTTGTTTACAGCCTCGGAGGAAAGGGCTGGAATATCCAATGTGGAGAGTTCAGCCAAGTTGGAGTAGGCTTCCCGAATCGCCGGGAACTTGGCTAGAAGGACCTCCTGTTTCTCTGCATCGGGAACGCTGCTCCGGTTCTTGATCTCCGGAATGTGTTTCTTTGGGTCTCTTACGGTTTCTATGATTCTCTCCAACGTCTGAAGCTCAGCATTGGACTTGTAAAGTGCATCCACTTTGGCCTGGAGATCTTGCACCTGTGCTGTCAACGAAACACCAGATTTGTCCTTTTCTCCTGCCTGGAGCTCTAGCCTCGTTAGTCTGCTGCTGAGACTGTTGAATGTGGAAGAGTCCATGGTGATAATATGTGCGAAACGGAAGTAAGCGCACAATGTAGACCCTATTGACCGAAGCATGAGGTAGTGGTGTTGGGGAATGAGCTCAATGTGATTTCGTATTTTCGTTCGGATTTCGATCTTGGCGGTCCTTAACAATCCGTGGCCACAGAATGGCAATTTCAGAGGACTGTGATAATCAGAGACCTGTTCTACTGTGGCGGTGATAAGACACTACAGAGTAAATGAAAAAAGCCGTCGTCAATTTGATGGCCCAAATGTATTTGCGTGGCTATTAGCCTTTTAGTTTCCTTGACCTAGGCAGCTGCTGGAGGTGTCTGCCAAATTAAGTAGGATCTGCCGGGTGGTTCAACCTTCTAGTGTCCAATTGCAGCCATCTCACAGAATCCTCTCACTCTTCCTCGCTGCTGCTGAATTCATCGTTTTTGCTGTCGCCGTAAAGCTCTCGGAGACTCATGGGCTTGCCCTGCTTGGCGTCCAGGCCGTTTCGGCCAAACGACTTCTTCTCTGGCTCTGGCTCGTCAGCCATTTTGATCACGATCCGCTCCCGGGCGCCGCCGTCATCGTCGTCCTCGTCGCTTTCGGAGAAGTTCTCGCCAAAGGCGTTCGGCAGACTCTCTGACGACTCCAACACCTCCTGGAGCTGGTCCTCTAGGTCCTTGAAGTCGTCGTCCATGTCCACGTCGCCGTCCTTTTTCGCTCTCTTTGCCGTCCGTGGCTTCGGCTTCGGCTTCTCTACTTCCTTGAGGGCGCTCCCCGTCATGAGGTTGGATGTCTCGGACTCGCTCTCCAAATCCTCAAAGTCCTCCATGTTGATGATCTCCTTATCGGGCGTCGCTGTGGGCGGCCTCTTTGCCGCTTTCTTTGTAGGTTTCTTCATGGGCTTCTTCACCTCGCCATTCGTCTTTGTCGGCCCAGTGGCAGCCTGCTGCTGCTGTGCCTTCACCTCGGGAATATAGATCCCATCCTTGGGCGCCTTCTGCCACTCGGCGATCGCCGTTCGCCACTTGTCGGCATTTCTGCTTTTGCTCATTCGTATCGTGTTGGAAAGCTGTTGTAGCAGCACCTTGACGGCTCCCTTGGGGTCTTTTTCAAAAGCCAAGTAGAAGGAGTCTGGCCCCGACCCGCTGGCTCCGGCTCGCTGTCTTTGCTGGATGCCTTCGAAGATCACAGTAGGTGCCTTCCCCTTCTGAAGGGACAGCTGTGCTTCAAGCACACACGTCTGGTCGTCTCTATAAAGCTTGAGTGGCTCCTTCTGGCTCATGGAATCTGGAACAAAGCCGTATCGGAGAGCTAGCGGACCATTGGATGTGGCAGTTTCGTTCTCGTAGCCTAGCACCGACAAGTCGATGTCGTACTCGCCGTCAGGAAGCATGGTGGGGAAAATCGAAAGGAGTGTGGAAGAAAATGGTGTAGGAGGAGTATGGTGAGGCGCACTAGGCACGAATGTTGAGGTCGGCCTGGTGATGTCAAAAAGGGAAAGACCGTAACGGAGCGGAGTGAGAGAGGGATGGTTTATGTGAATGTTTTATGGTGATTACGTTGATCTAATGGACATTATTGGGGTGGATTTCCCGGAAAGATGGAAATTAACATGGCAGGTATGGCGCTTAATGGGGAAGCAGCATCCGCCCATGCCCAGAAACGGGAATGAGGGATCCAAAATAGAGGATCGGACTTTTTGTGGTGATGGCGGTTGAAAGGTGCTTTGGAGAACGGAAAGATCTCGGGCACGGTGTTTGAGTTATTTTTGGGTTTCCATGGTAGGAGGGGACCATGGCAAGTCTAGGCGAGGCTTTAGATGGTGACGATTTTTGGGTTGTAAGGGGTGGTGAGGTGTGGTGGAGTCGGTGTATTTATGTGATAGAGATTTGTGGGAGGGGAGATTTGAAGGTTGAGTTGTGGGTTTAGGGTAGTCGTGATGTTGCAATGGAGCATTGGTGATGTAGTTGACCGATCCATGGATGTTCTACGATTCTTCCAGAGAACGGTATTTTTAGCTAAATGAACATAAATGGACTTTAGTGGTTCGCTTCAAGAAGATTTCATTACGACTTTGATGTCCAATCTGTATTGTAAGTATGTGGAAGTCTCTGTTCATGGTGTATGAGCAAACAAGCCATTGTACCAGTATTTGGCTGCGAAAAGTGAAAGTTGAGAACATCACCATCACCATCAACATAAACTTTGGAAAGACCACTGCAAATTCCCATTATATACTAAATAACTCAATAATAATCACCCCAAACCCATTATGTCCCTTTAATTCCTGTTTCACACGACAGTAGGACGATCTAGACGCACCATCGGTTTCCATCAACTGACAACCACATCTACTTACCAGCAATTCATTACTCTCGAAAACCACACTTTCATGAATTAGTCAAAAAAAAAGAACGTCTTCCACCTCCCCTTCCACCAACTCTGACCCCACAATAACCTGGGATCCATCAACTTCATGCACGTGACCATTGTTGACATTTCCATTGATTGGGTCTCGCTTTGATCTACTACGCTTCCATGGGCTCTGAAGAAAAAGTGTCACTTTTGCACCCTAAGGTGCTTCTAATGACTGCAGGAGCTACTGCGTCAATCCTTCTTTCCTATAAGTTCTACACTCGCTACATCCGCCGCATACGAAGCTACCTCGACTTGAGCCATGACATTCTCGATGGTCAGAGAACCTTGTATGGGAAAGTCACCAGAGTGGGAGATGGGGACAACTTTCGTTTTTTCCATACACCCGGCGGGATCATTGCTGGTTGGGGCTGGCTTCGGAAAATCCCTACAAAGCCGCTGGAGTTGAAGGATGAGACCTTGATGATCAGACTTTGTGGGGTCGATGCACCAGAAAACGCCCACTTTGGCAAACCAGCACAACCATACTCCAAAGAAGCACTCCAATGGCTCAGAGGCTATTTGCTTGATCGTTACGTTACCATCACGCCATATTCCATTGACCAATACAAGCGTGTGGTTGCAAGAGCTCAGGTTTGGAAATGGACTGGTAGAAAAGATGTCAGTGCAGAAATGCTTCGTCACGGACTTGGTTTGGTGTATGAAGGCAAGATCGGAGCAGAATTCGGCGATAACGAAGCTTGGTACAGAAAGCTAGAGGCCAAAGCAAAAAGAAAGAAGAAGGGCTTATGGTCATTGGGCAGAAAGCTCGTCACTCCCGCAGAGTTCAAACGAAGCTAAGCATCATTTCATCGTGCATTTTATAATTTTCCCTTGCCCAGTCACTTGAGCAACGCTGACACCTCCTCACTCAACTCATTTGCATGCTCCTTGGTGTCGGCTTCAGCATATACCCTAACAGCATCCTCAGTGCCCGAGGCCCTCACGAAGGATCTTCCCTCAGAGTACTTAGAAACAATCTCATCAATCTTATCTTGCATTCCGGCGGGCTCCACCAAGGTCCGCTCGGCGTTTGTAGTCTTGAACACGGTACGGTCAGGAACCACCACCTTGACCAACTTGTTTGGCAAGTCCGTGTACTCCTGATCCCACTGCTCTGGCGTCAACTTCAAGTAGTGAAGAATGACCAAAACAGTCAACAAGTCAGAGATGGCGTCACCCACGGTCTGGTTGATCAACTTGGTGAACTGCTGGAGAACCTTCACGGCCTCAGTCTCTTCAGGCGAGGCTGCCTCGTGAGCGAAGATCTTCTCCTCAGCATCCTTGGAGAAAATGACAGTTCCATGACCGTTGGCCTCGAAGTAGACACCGACGTCGTACTTCTCAGCCTCGTGGTGCAAGTGCTTCACACCGGTAGGGGTGCAACGAACAGGCAACTTCAAGACATCACTGACGTATTTCGTGGCAGAGCCATTAGCGTATGCGGTTTGGATAACAGCAATGTCCAACTTGAGTTTGGAAGTGTCGATCTTAGACAACAATCTCTGCAAGAACAAGGCAATCAAGGTGGCAATCTTGTCACCATCCAACAACTTGAAGGTACCGTCTTCAGTCTGGTAGTAGTGGACCAATCTGTCTGCGTCACCGTCGAAGGAGCCGTACAACTTGCCTGGCGTAGGGGAAACGTTCTTTGGAAGACGCTGGTTGGTCTTGACGTAATCAGCACCGCAATCGGAGTTGAGCAATTCGGGCTTAGTGTAGTCGTTGTTGACAAACGAGTAGCTGATCTCGTCGTTCAAGTACTTCTCGAAGAGATCCTTGACTTTAGGAGCTCCCACACCGTTGGCAGAGTCCACAGTGATCTCCACCTTCTCGTCTCCACCGTACTTGAAGATCTCCTTGAAAGAGTCGGCCAATTTCTGGTAGTAGCCCTGTTCCAGGGTCACGCCGAAGGCAGGATCGTTCGTGGTACGTGTCACGTAGTGCAATTGAGGTGTGGTGAACAAACCGTAGTCGGTGAAGGTGGAGGCTGGAATTGACTCCACGCCAGCAATTGTAGCGTCAGACAATCTCGACGAGGATTCACGAGAGTCTCTTGCAATAACAACGTTGGCAGGAGTGTTGAGGTCGATGCCCAACTCCTTAACGAGCTTTTCCACGGTGCCCGCCAACTCCGAATGACTGGCATTAGCCAAGTCAGTGGCGTACTTTTCCCATGAGCTCTCCAACATGCTACCCAAAGGATCCACAACCTTCACACCGTTGTCCTGAGGAGGATTATGAGAAGCAGTGACCATCACACCGACAGTCTGGCCCTTCAAATACTTGGATCTCAACAGGGCTAAGATTCCAACAGTGTAGTTGACGTAGTCCAACAAATCAGCTTTCATTCTGAAGCCGGCGGTGCCGTAGGCGTAGGTCACACCCTCGGGCTTGGGGCACTTGCTAATGCGTTCGAAAATTAGGTCCTTGATCATTTTGGTGAAAAAGATAGGTGGATTATCCGGGGACAGCTAAGTACAGATCTCATGAGCCCTTGTTTGGGTACTGCACAGACGCTATGCCAAAAGGGTATTCTTAGTGCTTCATGCACCTTCATGTAGCGCTTTTGTAGATGAGAGTTGCATTTTCCTGAAAATACAACATCAGCTCAGATATGAAGAAGCCGGGGAAGTTTGCAAACTCGTCTTTTCACAAGGAGGGACGTGTCGTGAGCAATGAGCCTCCAAAGAAGCCGAAAACCCCAAAAGATGAGTTTTTCACCGAGCTCGTGAAAACCGGCAGACCCAATTGGAAAAAGGCCCCAACAGCGGTGAAACAGCGTTACAATGGTATCTTCTTGATCCTTTTTTCCATTCCCATCATGGCACTCTCTGGCTGGGAGCTTTATAGAAGAGTGGAGGGCAAGTCGACCAAGAAGGTCCAGGAAGGTGAGATTGTCCAGGGTAAGGAAGTGAGGAAGTTTGGGGAGGCGGAAAAATGGCAGAGGGAGAAGGACAGTGTCTTGTACAAGATCTTTGGTCGTGACTTCTTCTTGGACGGCTTTACCAGTAAAACCATGAAGCGTGACGACAAAAAGGAGGACGAGAAATAGCCGTTTATTTCCATGCTTTCTTTGCAGGTTTGATTGGTTGCAAGAGGTGGCTTTCTTCGAAACGTGAGCCAATGGACGAACCCGGTCTATCAGGCGATGTTGAACGTAAACTCAATCGATCAAGAGCAGGCTCGACCTCATCTATGCTACCGGTCTCATATGCCAAATTCGGCGTGGTCTGTCCCGCCAAAGAGAGTTTATCAGCTCTCATTGTGAGCAGCGACGCTCTAGACCGCTCTTGTGGAGTCATCTCTCCAGCAAACAGGGATCCTGTTGAGGATGCTCTTCTTCCACTCATGCGCTTCTTAGGCAAAGTGAACAGCGGTGGACTCCTCAACATTGTAGGCGACATATGTGGCGTCTTGAGCAATGGATTTGCTAAATGAACAGGGAGATGCTTTGATTCAGGTCGCCTGTCTGGTGATATGAAAACTGGATGCGATGGACTAATGCTGGGTATGCGTGATCCCTTCGCCGGTATCTTTTTGATCACCGGAAACCTCATTTGTATATAGTTCTCGACAATAATAGGTATCTTAGAGGGCTGTGGATTGAAGTTTTGACCGAATTGCTGAAGAATTCTAGTGTAATTAGACACCGCTTCTTTAGGATGCGTTTCTGGGGTCTTTGGGTGGACGAGAGTCTCCGTGCTGTCATCCTGCGATAGCTTAACCTCTTCATCTTTTGGCGACAGCTGGAGTCCAAGTAGAGCCATTTGTAGCCTCGAGCTTCGAAGTTGACTAGGTTCTATGTCCAAATCCACAAAACGGTCTGTCTTTTGAGCACTGATGGGCACATTAGGCGAAGGATTGACGTCAAGTCGAAGGTCAAAGCCTCCATTATTAGGTGAATTAGTAGACGACAATCTTTTGCTTTCGGACAACGCCAGCGGTGTCCGTTTTTGAATCATCTTGACAGGTTTGAGGCCATCCTCACCGAGTTCGGGAGTTGACCCTCGCGGAGTACCTGGTGATTTGCCAATGCTTATGGAGCCACTTAGAAGATCATTCACTTCGGTCCATTTTGGGCGAATTTCCAGTCTGAACCTATCTCGTATGCCCTTATCGTCACCGACATAGTCCATCATGGCTTTATGGAGAAGCATGTTGGCGTTCGAACACATTTTAAAAGAGATACCTAGCTCATCACTCACTTCTGAGACACCCATCTCCTGGCTCTTTTTTAGCCTTTCGGCCATTTCATCTAGCTTGGTTATCATCAGATCAATGAGGAACATGCACAAGTGACGCCAGCGCAGAACGATTGCAGAGCTTCGTAGTTCACTGAAATCAGATACGACTTTTCTCCACGACTTTCTAAGGGAATGGAAGTCCTGGTTCACGTCTGCGATGGCCGACGGGAAAATAATGCCACAATGCTGGTTGAACTCGCCGATTCGATGCTCGAGAAATTTGATCGATATGCTAATGGGCTTGAGTCTGCTTTCAAACCTTTCAAAGTTTTCGAAAAACTCCCTTTCCTCGGTTGAGAACGCCATGATCGGCGTATCTATGCTGTTATCTGACCCAGTGAGCTTGACCTTGGACACCACCTTCTCCATGCTCAAGTCGTGGGGAAGCTCCGAAAGCTTCACGTCCCGCAAAGAGCTGTAGATATCGTCACAGGCCGCAATCTCGCGGTTTATCTCCTTGATGCTGTCAAATCGTAATTCGTGATACTGAGCCGATATAGACACAGCGGTCTGGGCCTGCAAAAGAGCCTGCTTTGCCTTGGCCAAAAGATCGCTTGTGTGCTTGAGGTGACCCAGCAATTCCTTAGTATCTAGAGCTCCTGGTAGCGCCATTGTCAGAGCCACAAACAGCTCTATCAGGGTGACTTCCTTGTATAGGGTACTCACCAATGCACGTTCTTCATGATACCATCCTAGAGTCTCGTCCTCGGCTTTATCAAAAAGAGCCTTGATTTGGTGAAGGTACAGCTCGACATCGAGAAGGATGGCCACGGCTTTCGAGTTCTCAAACGTCAGAAGACCTCTCTCTTGATGCTTCAGGTCTGTTAGATCGCTTCCTATTAGAGCGGCAAAGTCGAAGTGGCGCTTGGCCCATGGCGGAGACATTATTATTCCTGAAGTTTCGAGAAGTTGAAGCCATAAGTAGCAGGACAAGTCCAATCGACCAAGTGTGTGATTGTTGATAAAGCGTGCTTTGTTTATGGATCTGATACAGGTGCATGCAGGTGACAAGGTACGGTCACAGAGATGACCTGTGGTAAGGGGATTCAGGCACTATTGTATATTGTCGGTGTGATATAAGGAGGTCAGAAAGTAGGTTTATAAGTTTTGATGGGTTGTTCTTTGTGGGTGGAGGTGGATCTTATGGGAACCCTAGATGGGTAGTATGCAACGCAGACTAAAGTACATACCAGTGAGACAGCGTTACTGTGAAGAGAGTACAAAAACAGAAAAGACAAAGTGTGTCAAATTCTGTTGATCAATAACAAATTGAATTTGTTTCTCGTTTATGCCCTCTAATGTTGGTGTACTTCTTCTGGTCTTAGTCCACCTTATAATGGCTGCGAAAACGTATTTGCACCCAAAAACCACAGCTTAAAGAACCCTTATAACTCCTACTTTTCCTCAAAAATCCACGAATCATGCGCTACGCTTCCAAAACCCTCAAGCACAAAAAAGGGTTTTATCACAGAAAATACAGACCCCGTCTGTGCTCCTCTGTGTTTGATCTTCCTTCAAACCAGCCTTCTTCACCACTATCACCAGAAAGTGACGAATCTGTCATTGAGGAGATATTCAGTGCTTTTGCCGAAAGCAGCCCTTTTGTTATTGAGTCTCCTGATTCAGTAGAGCCAGATCGGTCTAGGGTCTCGACTGCCGATACACTTCCTACGATTCCTGAAGGTACCCCAGTGCTTATCCACAAACCCACTGAGCTAGAGCCGTTTCCTCCAGAACCAATAAAGCAGACTCCGATTAAGGTCTCAAGAATACCCACAAAGCCAAGAATTGTGACCCAACCGAGAATAGTGACTCAATTGAGAATCACCACCTTGGACCGCTGGCACTTGAGAGAACTAGAGCGTATCTACTACCTGAACAATGTGTGGAAGTACCATAGAATCAAGGCGGTCAAATTCGGCTGGAGGGCAATGAGAGCAAGAGTCAAGGCACTTTTGGGATACAGAGCCGAGGTGGAAGTGAAGCTTCCTGTGAGATCTGTTAAACCACCGAATATGGAATGTTTGTTGTGGGATGGATCGTCAGAGGAGAGCATCGGCTGTTCTGAGGTTTTGCCAAGGATACGAGGAAGGCATCTGAAACGAAAGGGTGAGCTTGAAAGGAAGGATAATACTAATGTTGTTCCTGACATCCAAAGAAAGAGTTCAGGCAAATGTGATGGGGATTCCTTGAGACTAGGGCCAGAGGAGGTGGAACCAAAGAGCATTCCCAAAGTTGACAAATCTTACAACTACTTTAAGGATGAACAGAAACTGGTGACGCCGGGCTCTCGAGACTCTTCGTGGCAATTGGTGAAAAAGCCTATCACTTTACATCCAGGGAAGTGGGACAAATCTACAATAAAGAGATTCAACAACATGGTCCTACAAGAGCACTACGGCAGCCTCATCAAGAGCTTCATGGGCTGTAAGAAAAGAGTCACCTTATCCAAAGATTTCCTTCTCGAACTGAACTTTTCAGGGTCTAAAGGGTTCTGTGGGTTCCAGAATGCCGTCAGTATGGCCCTCAAAGCACGGGCTGCATTAGACGAGATGGAAGAAGGCTTTGGAAAGATGATAGCGTTGGGAATAAAGTCAGCGAAATTCAGTCAGAGCTTGGGTATCAAGATTCCAGAGTTGGATCACCATTGGGTATGGCTGCGAAATAACGGTTCCTCAAGCATTGGAACGAAGGTGCATCTCAACACACAAGGCCATTTGCTGGTGAACTTACTTCTTGATGATAGGAGTGAGAAGAAAGGTGTTTCTGAGAATTCGTCAAATCCTGGATCTGATTCTATACCGAGTGGCCTGGATGATCCACCACACTCTAGGTTTGCCGGTGCTGAAAGTCTTTGCACCACTGCAGACGACTTGATACGGGCCGCCCAAGATCTACTTGGAGAAAATGAGATTGACGACGAAAATGAAGTTGGCGACGAAAAAGATTGTTCTCAATGAGGTTTTATGGATATCTGGAAGTTAATGAGAATGGCTGCGAAAGTATGTGATGGCTGCAAATTGGGTTCAGTAATGGAACATCACAACCGCACCACGTAACCTTATCATACCAAGCTTAGATGTGACATACCATTCAAGTTCGAAAATTCGTTTCCTTGTTGAAAATAAATAAGGCGGTGGCTAGAGATATTCATGGATTTGGTGCTCTTGACTTATACATCTTATCATATACCGCAATACTGTGGCCTAATTGCAAAAGAACCATGTATCTCATAATTGATAACCACTTAAGAGCCCAACTAAATCCCAAATCATATAACCTCATTATCTCCTCTCCAGTCTTATATAGGTAACTACCTCTAATGGGCCTGGTGTACAGGTGCGATGGGGTATCTCTGCGATGAGCCGGATCATCGCTACAACCAATATTCACCATGGCTAAGGTGGCTAAAAAGAAGTTTTCGTCTGCTCCAGACCCCACGGGCAAGACCGTGGCGGCCGATAAAGCCATGAACTCGGTTTTCAAGTTCAACACAAACCTTGGTCAGCATATTCTCAAGAACCCTCTTGTGGCCCAGGGCATCGTGGATAAGGCTCAAATCAAGCCCAGTGATATCGTGTTGGAAGTCGGTCCCGGTACCGGTAACTTGACGGTCAGAATTTTGGAAAAAGCACGCAAGGTTATCGCCTCGGAAATGGACCCTCGAATGGCTGCTGAGCTTACCAAGAGAGTCGCTGGTACACCTAACCAGAAGAAGCTTGAAATCATCTTGGGTGACTTCATCAAGGCAGAGCTTCCGTACTTTGACGTTTGCATTTCGAACACTCCTTACCAGATTTCTTCCCCTTTGGTTTTCAAGCTCTTGAACCAGCCCAACCCTCCTAGAGTGTCCATTCTTATGTTCCAGAGAGAATTCGCTTTACGTCTTTTGGCCCGTCCTGGCGACGCCTTGTACTGCCGTCTCTCTGCCAACGTGCAAATGTGGGCCAATGTCACGCATATCATGAAGGTCGGCAAGAACAATTTCAGACCTCCTCCTCAGGTGGAGTCCTCTGTGGTGAGAATCGAGATCAAACAGCCTAGACCCAACATAGACTTCAACGAGTGGGACGGCTTGCTTCGAATTGTGTTTGTGAGAAAGAACAAGACCATTTCTGCTGGTTTCAAATCAAGCAACGTCATTGAGATCTTGGAGAAGAACTACAAGACGCTTTTGGCGACCCAGAACGCCGACGATGGCATGATGGTCGACTCCAAAACCGACTTGAAGGACGTGGTCAAGGAAAAAATCGAAACCGTGTTGAGAGAAACCGGTTTCGCCGAAAAGCGTGCTGCCAAGCTCGACCAGACAGACTTCCTCAAGCTTCTTTACGCCTTCCACCAGGTGGGCATCCACTTTGCATAATCCTTGTACTATATAATCTATCATCTATCGTCTTTTACCGCTCTTCAGTGTATCCTTCTCTATCACCTCGCCAACACCACCAAGCTCCTCGAGCTGGTCCTCGGCTATTCTCACCTGCTCTCTTCTCTCCCAGAAACGGTCCTCACAGAGATCAAATGCAGCCTTCTTGAGGTACTTACCTCTGGCGTCTCTGTTACTGGAAATGGACCATTCGAGGAATTGGGCACCAGTACGGATGTAGAAAGCTCGGAGGTTTTCAAAAGGCTTTGGATGTGGAAGCCAAGGACGAGGGTCAGGAATCTCGTCTTCGTTTTCTTCTTCCTCCTCTTCTTCCTCAATCTCCTCCTCTTCTTCCTCTTCAGCCTCCTCAGGCTCCTCTTCTTCGTCATCCTCTTCATCATCATCATCCTCCTCGTCGTCAGAACCCACATCTGTCTTGTCAAGCTCGCTGTGGTCTTCCCAGAACACCTTCACTCCATCGAGCTTGTTCAAATCAATAGAGTACATCGAGTCGAGGTTGAATTCCTGTTCGCCTCTTTCGAAAATACCGCCAAAAATGTACAACGAGTCGTCAGCAACACAGGTTGTAGCGTTGAAACGGGGATGTGGAAGCTGGTTCACAACAGGGAATTCCACCTTGTCGCTCTCCATCTCCTCTCGTTCCTCCTGCTGCTTCAAACGCTCAATCTGAGAAACCTCTTCCTTCTCCTCATCTTCGTCGTTCAAATTTGCCTTGGCCAAAATCGAGTTCAAGATATCCTCCAAGTCTTCGTCTCTGTTGTTCTTCTCCTTGACAGGCTCCTGCTTCTTCTTCTTACGAGGCTTCAACGTCAAGTTGTACCACCTGTTGACCTCCACCTGGTACGACTGAAGGGTGTTGTAGAACTGAGACTCGATCTTCTCGTCACTTTCATCGTAATCATAGACACCGCCAAACATGATACCACGGTTTTTGTGGAACACCATGGAACAGCCTACTCTAGGTGACGGACTGAATCCCTGCTTTCTTCTCCGTTCAAAACGAATACCCTTAGGATCGGCCTTCATCTTCACCAACCACGTATCCGTGAGCACCTTACCCTTTTGCAGACCCTTCTTACCCTTCACCTTACAGTATCCACCGTAAATCACAGCACCCTCAGGATGTGGCACCATGGAATGGCCAGAACGGGCATCTGGAACAGGATGGGCGGGAGGAAACTCAGCCTGGGTCCACTTGTGTGTGGTGATATCAAAAAGCCACATATCGTGAAGATAGGTGGTCAGCACACCCAAGTCTCTGAAACCTCCATGCAAAATAATGTAGTGTTTCCAGACACACATTCTGTGGCCGGATCTCGCCGAAGGGCCCTTCTTCTGGTCGATCTTCTCCCACTCCTTGGTCTCAGCATCCAAAACCCAAGTATCACCGTAGTGGTAGAAGGTGGACTGTTTAGGAGACGAGAACTCACCGCCAAACATCACCACAATTCCCGAGGGATGAGCACACATGGCATGTGAGGAACGAGGCAAAGGGGCGTTCTTCGAAGTGTACCTTCTCCATGTGTTGTTGTCGATGGTGTAGGTGTGCAAGTCGTTGTAGAACCTGGCCATGCCGTTTTCGTTGGCTTCACCTCCAAACAAAAGCAATTCTCTTTTTCCTTGAAGAGGGCTGGCCACCATGGCCGGGTTGAGTCTTTTCGAAGGTCTGTCCACGACATCCACCTTCACAGCAAGAAGCTCTTCTTGTTCTTTGGCATACTGCTCCAAGATGGCATCGATGTCCTGGTCCTCTTCCTCCTCTTCTCCGGACTTCTTGGCCTGCTTTTTCTGCTTCAGCTCGGCCTTCTGGTTATTCTTCTTCTGCTTCTCCGCGGCACGGGCCTTTTTGTCCTCCTTGGACTTTTTGTCTTTCTTTCCCATGGTGGTAGCGATGGCTTCGCGATTTCGCAGCCATACGGTGAAGAGGTGGAGATGATGTAGATGGATTTTTGTCAAGTGGGATTATTTGAAGTGGAGGTGACTATTTGGTGAAGGGAACGGGGTAAATAATTAGATTTTGACTTTTAGCGGTGGATCAAGGGCAATTGCTCAACCCTTGATTGACCTACTACGGAACCGGTTCAATCATGGTAATAGACCCTCTCAATCATGAAAATTTAGCTCCAACTACTCAATTGACTTTTTTACCACAATTGCCTCATTTATGCCACTCCCACTGATTCAAAACCTACACTTATCCACGGATTAGCTTTTCTTCATTGGTTCTCCAGACGCTATGCATCGTTCTATTGTACATTCTACACCGAAATCGTCTTCCAGACGTTCAAACCGTCGCCGCCAGTCGAAACAAGACAGCCGGGAATCTGTGGGTGCCATCTGACGTCCTTCACATGTCTCTGCCAGTGCACAAACAACAACTGTGGAGGAATGTCGTGCAACTCCTGGGCTTCCTTTCTCTGCTGGGAGATTTCTTCATCGTCGGCCTCAACAGCCAAATCCCACAAGGTCACGGTATTGTCCTCGGAAGAAACAGCAATGATGGACTCGTCCAACGGGTTGAACGAGATGGAGGTCACAGGAGCCTTGTGGAAATCGTAGTGAGCAACTGGAGAAGGCTTGTCCTTACCGTTGAAGTTACGCAAGTCCCAGACACCCCAGGTGCCGTCGTCGTGACCGGATGCAAGCAAGTGGGAGATCTTGGTGCTCCACGAAATGACGTTGACGTCGGATTTGGAGGCCTCCACTGAAATCACAGGCTTGTGCTTCTTGGATCTGGTGTCCCAGATTCTCACGTAACCGTCACAGTCTCCGGTAGCAAAAACGGTGTTTTCATTAGTGGACCATTGAATGTCTTCGATGGACGCTTGGGATGCAAAAAATGGGGTCTTGTCGGTGACCCAGTTGGAGGTGGTTCTGTTGGTCAAGTGCACTCTGCCCAGGCAGTCACCCAGCAAAAGAGCACCGGTGTTTATAAGCGGAGACCAGTCCAAACCGTAGCCTTCGACATTGCCGTGGGTACGGATTGTGTGGATGGGTCTTTTGGCACCCTTGGGGATCATGTAGCCTGGGGTGTCGAAAGCCTTGTACTGGGGCAGGAGGTCGTAGATAAGCACCTCACCGTTTTCTTGCAGCGCTGCTGTCAAGTATTCACCGGTCTGGGCGGCATGGGGAGAAACTCTCAATCTGTTGGTGGTGGACTTGAGAGGGACGGTCTCAGAAATCATGACGGGGTCCGAATCCTCGTCGTCCTCGTCATCTTCGTCGTCCTCATCCTCAGCATCATCCTTCACCAATGTCTTGGCCAAAGACAGCAACTTCATGGTGATCAACTCGTTGTCCTTGGCTTTAGAGGCCTGAGTAGCAGTAGCCACATACAAAGAAGCAGGGTACGTTCTTCTCTCGTTACCCAAGGTGTCGGGCAAAATATCAAGCGTCAAACACGGCCAGGGCATGTTGACATTGTGCAACATTTCGTACACTGTAGGGTCGGCTTCAAGCACCTCATCTGGACCGAGTGGTTTGGATCTATGTGGCAAGTATATCTCGGGCTGGTTCTGGTTATTGTCGATTTCGATTTCTTCGATTTTGCCTTCACCTTCGGCAGCGCCCTCCTCGCCTTCAGAATCAAGCTCAATGATCTCTCCATCAGACTCAAAGTCGTCTCCGTAAGGGTCCTCGTAGTCACCCATATCAACGTCTTTTTCTTCAATTTGTGCACCTGCAGCGGGAGGAACAGCATCTGCGGAGGCCTTGGCGGCTCCACTGTTCACACCGTTAACGTCGTCTTCAGCTGCTCTTTTAGGCATCCTTGGGCATACGATGTAGTTGGTAGATGCCTGCGATGAGCTGAAAAAACGAACCACGGTCACGTGCGCGGGCCGTCAAAGAGGTGTATTTCCGGAAGTATCGTGAATTTTACAAAAAGAAGGGCAGATTCGTTCTTTTCAGACAATTTAACCCCTAATACCCTTCTCTTGCCCCTTATTTGTGTCGCACCCACCTCCCACATATACCCTGTGTTGACTTCGCAGCATCAACAACCATGGAGAGAAAGGCCTTCTTAGACCAGGAACCACCACCCGGGTACGTGGCCGGCGTGGGCCGAGGAGCCACTGGCTTCACCACGAGCGCCGATACCGGGCCGGTCCGTTTTGAGTCCGAATTCGGCACCGAGGACGAGGACCGTGGAGTACTAGCACTGAAGGGGAATGATGAAGACGAAGAGGCAGACGAGATATACGAAGCCATTGAGAAGCGGCTTGAGAAAAGGCGGAAACGGAAGGAAGCCGAGACCGAGGACGGCGTGGTCAAGATCGAAACGGGATCGGGGACCATCACCTCCGAGTTCCTGGATCTCAAGAGCCAATTGGCTTCTGTGCTGGCTCTGGAATGGGCCAGTTTGCCTGAAGTTGGTGATTTGACGAGGAGAAACAAAAGACAGAGACTTCTTGAGCAACAGCTGCAGAGAACGTATGCTGCTCCAGATATGCTTATCGCAGGCAGTGGAGGAGGCTTCAGAAACGATAAACACGAGGTGAACGAAAACACAGAATCGCTTTTGGAGGAGTTGGAGGCTGATGCAGCTCAGCGTGTGGACGTGGACAGAAGCCGACAGATCTTGGCTTCGCTTCGGAAAACGGAACCTAACAAAGCTGATCTGTGGATCGCTTCAGCTAGGCTAGAAGAGCAGGCAAAGAACTTCGAGGCAGCCAAGAAGCTCATCGTTGAGGGTTGCAATAGAGCCCCACATTCCGAACTGGTCTGGCTCGAAAGCATCAAAATCCATAGAAAGTCGTCAGAAAGCACAAAGTTGTGCAAGTACATTATCAACGAGGCTCTACGGCTCAATTCGGAGTCAGAACTGCTTTGGTTGCAGGCTGTGGAGCTTGAAAACCCAGCTGACGTCATATCTCGGCGGAAGATTCTCATGAAGGCTTTGGAGTTTCTTCCCTCGAACTCGAAGCTCTGGAAAGCGCTTGTGGAGTTGGAATCTGAAGATGATGATGTGAAGCGGATTTTGAAAAAGGCCACGCAGTTATGTCCTGACGATTGGGAACTCTGGCTCGGTTTGCTTAAGTTGTCTAGCTACTCCGATAGCAAAAAGGCGCTCAATTCGGCTAGAAAGCAGTTACCTAAGAATCCACATATCTGGGTAACTGCTCTCAAGCTCGAGGAAAGAGAAAACGCCGAAGTCAGTGAGCAAAAATTGACAAAAATGCTTAAAAAGGGGTTTGAAGAGCTTGAAAAGAACTCGTACGATCACGACAAGACTTTCTGGTTAGAAGAGGCTGCCATAGCTGAACAAGAGGGTTTCAACAGCTCAGCCAAAGCCATTGTCGAGAACTTGTTTGTGTTGCTTTCCAAGAGTGACAACCAGATTGAAGAGCTCTTCAAAGCAGCCGAGCAACTTTCGAAAGAGTCCGCTTCCAAGAGTTCCATTCATATCTACGACTTGCTCATCCACGAGTACCCTAACAATATTAGCTGCTGGTCACGATTGTTCAAGGTACTTAGGGAAGAACAACTCGGCAAAGAGGAGATTTACCGGTTTTACAAAAAGGCGATCAAGGCCAATCCTGAAGTGGAGGTTCTTCGCCTAATGTATGCGAAGGATGCTTGGGTCACCTGTTCAGACGTTCCTCATGCTAGAAGTGTTCTCGAGAAAGCTGAGAGGGACTTGCAAAAGAGTGAAAAGATCTATTTGGCTAAACTCAAGCTTGAGGTCATGAATCACGACTACAAAAATGCTTTCAATGTCGCCAAACTCGCATTGGAAGAATCACCAAGTACCTCTCCAAGATTATGGTACAAATACATTCATTTATTGAGGTTCTGTCAATTCAAACAGCTAGAGTTTGCCACAGACGTGTCGCTAACAGACATATGCGACGAGGCGTTATCCAACTTCCCTGAAAACTCAAAGTTATATTTACAAAAGTCACAAGTGCTTGAAAATACAGGGGATCTCCGCCAGGCTCGTGAAACATTATCAATCGGTTCCCGCAAATGTCCAAAATCAGCAGAGGTGTGGATTGCTTTAGCCAATCTTGACGTCAAATTGGAGGCATCCTCAAGAGCAAGATCTATCCTTGACACTGCAATTCTTGAGAATCCAGAGAACGCCGATTTATGGGCTGCTAAGATTCTGTTGGAATTGGAACAAAAGGATATCATTACAGCAAGGCAGCTTATCAATCGTGCTCGACAGCATTTTGCATCCTCGCCTGAGATTTGGATCCATCACCTAACGATGATTCCCAAAATGTCACACAGAAAGAATGCGTTTATTGATGCATTGAAGCAAACAAACAATGCGTCCGAGATTCTATTGGGTATAGGTGTGTTTTTCTGGATCGACGGGCACTTCGCCAAAGCCAAAGCCTGGTTTGATAGGGCTCTCAATGCTGATAAACGCAATGGCGATACATGGGGTTGGGCATTTTGCTTCATAGATAAGCTGGGCACCCCAAAGGAGAAATCCAAACTCATTGATGACTTGGCAACACATTTTGACCTAATAAACAAAGGAAAGACTTGGATCTCAGTCAAAAAGGATCCGAAAAACTTTGATAAGGGACCACAGGAGATCGTTGAGCAGGTGGCTCGTGCGTTGCTCAAGACATCAGTTGCAAAGTGATGCAAATATTGATCAAGAGTTAGTAGTCTTGTTTTGGTACAAGCGAAGGTTTAATGCACTCAAGAAGCACGGAATCAGATCCTTCTCATTCACCCATTGTGTAACTAATTCAGAACATAGGTTGCGGAAGTCGTAGGCACCATGGGCTTTAAGGTCTTTTGTGTGTACGTCGAGGGTCAAATAGCACGCTTCGGACTCTTTTCCATTTCTGTTCTGAAACTTGGAATAGAGTTTCATTTTCGAACACAAATCATTAGGGTTCATAGGACTTGGGACAAACTCAATGGAATAGCCAAAGAATTTAGACACCAAAGACATGATCTTCTTGCTTTTGTCTGTGTAGACACTTGTCAAGCGACTGTTCTTCTTATTAAGCTGATCAATTTTGCTTTGTAGATTCTCCTTATCATTCTCTTGTCTTGCAAAAAGAGCCATTGGAACAGTTTCGACATCCGCATTGTTGACGAACTTTGTAATGAGTGCTTCGTTTTCCTTGCGAAGAAGATCAAGCGTCTCTTGCTTGACAAGCTGGTCTCTATTAAACGGGTTCTTCCTGAGTTCGAGAATATGCGTCGTTTGGGTTGTTGCGTTGTCATAAGCGTCAAGCTTATTTTTGAGAATGCTAACCTCATCTTTGAGTCCCTTTATCTTGGAAAGTAGCTCGATGTTCTCGTTTCGAAGCGTCTTCGTGTTAAAAACGTGCGTATCGTCTTCTAGAATTCTTGGACGCTTTGTAGGTGCCAAAGGCGCAACGCTGACGCCATTCTTCTCCTGACGTAAGGTTTCAATCTCTTTCTTATAGTCGTCGACCAACTTCTCCAAATTGGAGAGATACTGGTTAGTCGCCTGGCTCTTGTCTTTGTCTTCATTTTCAGAGCTGGCACTCAGCTTGCGCAACAAAGCAGCATCGAGCTCTTTGACAGATCTGCGAAGAAATTCGATCTCACGAGTGTTGAGAAGTTTTATCTTCTGAAGCTCCTTGAGTTCAGCCTGCACCTTTTCAAGCTCTTCCTTCAATTTCTGATTCTCAGGCTCGAGCTCCTGCTCTAATTTGGCTATAAGTTGCTCGCCTGACTGCGTAAGCTCTGTGATAGACACCTGTGCCTGGTTGAGCTTGTCGTAGAGAACCAAGTTCTTGTTCTGCAAACCTCTATAATCCAGAAGAAGGCTGGAAACTTTGGCGTCTTGGCTTTCGGCATCATCACCGCCTTCCAAGTTCTGTGCCAAAAAGCCAAAGTACTCGTCGAACTTGGCTTTGATCTCAAGACGACCGATTTCCAGCTGAGCAGCTCTGCGATCGGCACTTTCAAGGCTTTCCACCTTATTGGACAACGAAGCACATTTTTGTCTCAAAAGCTCAACACTCGTCTTGTGCTGGAGGAGCAGATCCACCTTGGCCTGAAGCTGGCTGTTGGTCTGTTGGAGAGACATGTTTCTCAACCGTAGGTCTTCAGCCGTCTTGATAACAGAGCCATTTTCTGACTGTCTCTTTGCCATCCTGAGACGTTCGGTCAAGTCATCATTAAGCTGAGACAAGCGCAGGATCTCTTTCTCAAGCACCTTGACCTGGTCTCTATATTGGTCGTTGGCTGAAAGCTCCCGGTTGAGGTCTGCCCTGAGATGCTCACATTTGCCTGTCACGCTGTTGTACAGCCTTTCCAAGCGATCAAGCTGCTGCTTCAACAGCCTGTTTTCTTTCTTCAATGTGGAGGATTCAGCCAACGAGTCAGACGAGCTTTTCCCAGCGATATCCTTCTGGTTCTGCAATTTGCTTTGTAGCTCCTTCCTCTGGTTGAACACGTAGTCGAAATTGCCTTGTAATGCGGCCAACTCCTCGTTTTTCCGTGAAAGAAGGTCCTCATACCTCTTCTTCAGTGAGTCGCTACTCTGTTCAAGTAGGCGTTTTTCGGTTCGAAGAGCTCCATTTTCATACTCCAATTTGGAAATCCGCTCTAGTAAGTCGCCTTTGCTGTCTGACAGTCGGAATTCGACGAATGGCAGCAGGCTGCGTTGGGACATAAAGAAGGTGGAGTTGATGTTTTGCTCAGTATGGCGCGAATTGCAGTAGTCATTGTGGTGAGGTACCAAAAGTTGTAAGATTCGGCGGAAAGTAAAGAAGTTCAAAGTATTGGATGATATTGATAAATTTAAGTAGGTCATAGATGGCAGCTGGAGTTCAATACTTAATCGGGGTATTCTGAGGTCGATGTGTAGTGGAACATCTTTGGCTGCGAAATCTGTCACTATACTCAATACATACCACTTTACGTATTTTTTTGATTTATTGATTGATAAGTGGATTCATGCTATGAGGGAGAAGATATGTCATAATCGAGTGTTATTTTACAAACGAAAAGTGCTGTATAGTTTGGCATTTACACAGTGGTAGACAAGCGTCAGACCAAGTGTTGTAATTGCTCTGAGGGATTAAAGCAAAAAAAGCGAGCTATATCAAGTCATGGCATAAACATTCGAAACGCTTAGTTTGTAAAACCCAAAAGTTGTATGAAACTCCCTGCTTATGACTTCTTCAGCTGCATCAGCTTTGTGAAACATCCCCTACGATACTATTAAAGTTCAGACTGCGAGGAAAATTCTCGGATATGCAAATATAAGCTTCTTCGGCCTATTTCTTAACTCTCTCCAATCGCCAGCCAAACTTACGGCATCACTGGGGATTGCTAGGTTCCATCGGAAGACTCCACAGCTGCCACACCCGTGCACCATGACTTCAATACTTGAGCGATCCAGGAATACCGTACCACGCATAATCATGTCCAAAGTGTATGTGCCCGGTAACCCTTACGTCAAACTGTACTAACCCATCAGACCCAGAAACTTCAAGCTTCTAGAGGAATTGGAGAAAGGCGAGAAGGGCTTGGGTGCCCAATCGATCTCTTATGGCTTGTCCAATCAGGACGATATCACCATGACCTACTGGAACGGCACCATCTTGGGCCCACCCCACCTGACTCACGAGAACCGCATCTATTCATTGAGCATTGTCTGTGGTAACGACTACCCAGACCAGCCCCCTGACGTGACCTTTGTGTCGAAAATCAACCTTCCTTGTGTCAACTCCGAAGGCAAGGTCGTCATCTCCGAGTTCGACACGTTGAAGAACTGGAAGCGCACCTACACCATGGAAACTGTTCTTTTAGAGTTGCGGAAGGCCATGGCGCTGGCCAGCAACAAGAAGCTCCCTCAGCCGGCCGAGGGCTCCACGTATTAGTAATTCCATACTGCTTTAATCACCTTCATTGATCACTCCTTGGCTCTCTCGGGAATGGAGTCCGGCACACCGTGTTCTTCGAGCCACTTGTAGGTTTCCTTCTCTACTTGTAGGAACTTTTCAATATCCGGTCCGTACTTCACACGCCGGCTATTGTTCGTTTGAGCGTCAGTGACTTCTATGTTGATCCATCTTTCACTATGGTGCTTCTTTCCATTGATAGTTTTCGTTTCAGGTACCAAGCATCGCTGGAATACTCGTTTGAAAGGTAAGCAGACGAACTCGTAGCCTTCCTCTAGAATCTTGTAAGTGCACTCATTCTGAGTTAGCGATTTCAATTGACATTTGTATTTCTCGGGATTCTTTAGCTGCTCTGCAAACTGCAGCTGGACCTCTGCACGTGAGTGAACGACCACAGGTGGCGCCATGGTGGTAGTTGTGAAGATGCCTTTTGGAAACCAGAAGTGGGTGTATTTAGGGTGCACGGGTGTCACCATGCCATACCCAGTGGAGGTCAGAGAACAAGTTAGGAAAAGGGTTTTTCAAATCTTTTTATATCTTTTCAGATTAAAGTCCCTTTTCTGTGTAGTCTAACTACTGAATGACTGGAAATGCGGTGTGTGGAATATCGATTGATGCGCCTAACTCTCTACTTAAGCATACAGATTACAGATCTACAAGGTGGATATGCTTTTTTGGGAATGGATGGATTAAAAGTTATGGCGTAGACGATTTTGAGCTCTTCCAACCGGTTGTGCAACCTACATCTGGTTCATATGGAATGTGGTTCATATGGAATGTTGCATTACTAGTATAAGGCAGACCTAATCCTTCTTGTTTCTGGCAGCCTTCTTCAAGGCTCTGGCACGGATGCTCTTGTGCATGCTGAAATTCAACTTGTTAGCAACGCTCGAGTAAACACCGACAGTGTTCTCGATACCAAAGTGCATCAAGGCATGAGTCCAGAATGGAGTAGAGGTAGCATATCTCTCCTGAGCACCGCCACGACGGCCAACGCTTGCCAATGTGGACTGGACAAAAGCCTTTGGCGAAGGAATGGTAGCACTGGTTCTTCTGATCTTAGACATAGCAGAGGTGACCAAGTAAGAAACCACAAGCTCGACATCGATACCCTGGGGCTTCAACTCACCGGCCAAAGCAGCAGACCACTGCTGCAAGAAAGCCTTAGAGCCGGAGTAGGTAGCCAAGTAAGGAGTGGGCAACAAACCGCCAAAAGAGCCCATGGTGAGAATAAGACCCTTGGAGGACTTGTCGGAAACGGTCTCAGCAATCAATGGGGCCACAATCTGGGTGATCTTCAAAGTCACGGTGTTGTTCAAAGTGATGATGTCCACCAATTCCTTCTCCTCGGTCTCCAAGAATGGCACAGGGATGGAGTGGGACTGACCAACGTTGTTGATCAACACAGTCACGGGCAAACCGGCAATTGACTCACGCAAGAGCTCGTAGTTTGCTGGAGCGTCGGTGGACGCGTCAAAAGCCACGTACTTGGCCTCTACTCCGTACTTAGCAGCGATTTCGTCAGCAAGAGCCTCCAACTTTGAAGCAGTTCTCGAAACCAAAACAACATTGAGACCCTTTTTGGCAAGCTGGAGAGCGTACTCCTTACCAATGCCATCGGAGGCACCAGTAATCACGGCCCATTTGCCTTTTTTGGCACCGTACTTGGAAAAGTTGGTGGCTGGAAGAACAAAGATGTCAGCCAACAAAGCACCAAGCGACAAGGTCAAGTTGGTGATTTTGTAGATACCTGTGAAGAGAGCAGCAAACAAAAAGGCCTGCACGAGCTTTGACTCCGACACGGAGACTATGAAGTCTTGAATAGCCATGATGGTGGTGGTGTGGGTTGACTTCAATATACTTTTCAGCGTTGCGCGCCATAGCCATCCTTGGCAGAGTACATAGGAGACAATGTGTAGAGGCAATATCCCGAGGAATCCGGATTCAAATAGTAGATTTTGTAAGTATTAGCACAGGGCGGTGATGCCGATTTAGAACATGTAAGCGAGGTTCTGTGCCCGCGGATATCAGCAGTCCGGGGCTGATGGTAGTAGCGAGCAGGTTACTATGGTACACTCCACAGCGATGTGGAAGGGCGTTGAGAATGGAGTCAAGGAAGGGAGCAATCGTAAGTCATTGTGGAAGATTAAGTGAGTGGATTTAGCGACATCAACGTACAATCGATGCCAGCAAGCCAATCATGCCCACGCTCATCCCACACATCTCACACTCACAAAAACGTAAACTCATCGAGCTTCTCGGATGTCATTTCCACATTCAAGGCGTCCCTCTTGGCATAAACATCTAGAAGATCCATGTGGGCTTTGAGCTTGTGCACCTGCGCTTGTAACAGCCCGAGAGATCTGTTCACATTGGCAAGCTCTTGGTGACGTGCTTCTAGGCGCAGAGCAACTTTGCCGTCCCTGATATGTAGTATGGAGATCCATGGGTCTGTGTATGTGGGACCAGAGCTGCCTTGATCTCTGGATGCCCTAGGGGAAGTACCCGAGCTGGGAATGTGCCGAGGTGACGATGGATCGTGTTTGGGTGTGCCCACAGACTTGCTGCGGCTGGGCTCCTTGGTGAACTCTCTTCTGTCTCCTCTGTAGTCTGAGTAGTGCCCGTCCCTGCTATCTCGAGGCAGCGGTCTATCCCTGCTGTAGGATGGCTCACGATCTCTGTAGTCGTCTCTTCTGTCTTCTTCTCTGTATTCTCTAGGATCTCTGTCCCTTGGATCCCTTTCCCTTGGGTCTCTATCCCTGGGATCTCTGTCTCTTGGATCTAGTTCCCTTGGATCTCTGTTTCTGGGATAGCTGTCTCTTGGGTAGCTGTCTCTAGGGTCCATGTCTCTGGGCTCCCTGTCCCTAGAATCTCTTTCTCTGGGGTCACGGTCCCTAGGATCTCTGTAACGTGGCTCTCTGTCCCTAGGGTCTCTTGGGTCTCCATAATCTCGTCTGTACTCTCTACCTCTGGGAGCTCCTCTTCCACGGCCTCTATAGCCAGAACCTCTGTAGTGGTCTCTGCCTCCACGGTAACCTCCTCTTCCCCCGCGTGGTGCGTCGTATCGCCTATCCGGGTAACCTCTGTCACCGTAGTTGTATCCGCTCATATGGAGAAAGGTGTAGTTGAAGGTGAGAAGTGTTGATGTCTGGGTGTAGAGGTGTACTAGTTGATGGAGTACCACTACTTCAGAGCAGCAGAATGTTGTGGTTCAGCAAAGACTATTTTTTGTGGTGCATTTTGTTTATTTATCCTGAAAAATATTTTTCTTCATTAATTTTATTTCGTTTGTTGCACTGAGCCCGTAGATAACGATACTGGTATTATGGCTGCAAACCGCACAAAACACTTCAAGCAACAGGTCCAAATTACACCCCTAAAAAAAGCCTCTTCAGTTCCATAAACCTACTCAATTCCAAGGAAAGGCTTGCCCACGTCGAAACGGTAGGTCTTGTACTGATCGACATAGATCTGGTTATTGAGCTCCACCTTACCACCAACTTCCGACACAATGTCTTCATTTCCACAGACAAGGAGAATACCGTTTGCCTTTCCAGGCATCTCCTCAACTGGATCGAGGTTGTGAAGGGAATTCACCAAAGCGTTGGCAACAACCCTCGACATAGCTATAGCCCAGCCTGCCGACTTCATGATGGGAATTTCCACCAAATCGCCCACACAGAAAAAGTGCTTGATTGGCTCGTTGCTGTCGGGGATCTCGAGCTGGAGGTAGTTGTTCACGTAGACATTGTTCTTTGGAGAAACG